GTCAGACTGACTGGCCTGTAATTTCCCAGATCTCCTCTGGAACCCTTTTTAAAGATGGGAGTGATATTAGCTACCTTCCAGTCCTCAAGAATGGAGGCAGATTTTAATGAAATATTACATATTTTTGTCAGGAGATCCACAAGTTCACATCTGAGTTCTTTCAGTACTCTCGGATGTATGCCATCTGGGCCTAGTGATTTATCAGTTTTTAAATTGTCTATCAGTCATAGGACCTCCTCTCTCATCACCTCAATCTGACTCAGGACTTTCACCATCCCTCCCAAAATCAGCGGTTCTGGAGTGGGCAAGCACTTCTCATCTTCCACAGTGAGGACAGAGTAGGGTTCCCAACCCCCCCGGGGGGCGGAATTCCCCCCCGGTTAAGAGCCTCGATTCCCGCTCCTGCGGAATCGGGGCCCGGGGAAAACCCCACCCCCACGTGTGCGTCACCCGGAAGTGACGTCGCACGCTGGGGGTGGGGCCACACCATTTGAGGGGAAAACTCTTCGTTTTCCCCTCAAGTGGCGTGGCCCCGCCCCCAGTGTGCGACGTCACTTCCGGGTGACGCACATGTGGCGCGCGCGAAGAGGACGCCGTCCGGGAGCCCCCCGCTCCTGGACAATTTGGATTTGACAGAGGCAAAAAATGCATTCAGCTTCTCAGCCATTTCCCTATCATCCTTCACTACTCCTTTTACCCCTTGGTCATCCAAGGGCCCCGCTGCCTCCCTGGCTGGTTTCCTGCTTCTAATGTATTTGAAGAAAGTTTTATTGTTGGTCTTTACATTTTTCACTATATGCTCCTCATATTTCCTTTTTGCCTGCCTGATCACAGACTTGCATTTTATTTGCCACAGCCTGTGTTCCCTTTTATCAGCCTCACTGAGACTAGCTTTCCACCGCTTAAAGGAATCCTTTTAACCTTTTACAGCTTCCATTACTTTGTTCGTTAACCACGCAGGCTTTTTTCTATACCTATTTGTGCCTTTCCTAACCTGCGGTATATATTTTTTCTGAGCTTCTAGGATTGTTGTTTTAAATAGTCTCCAAGCTTCCCCAATGGTTTTGACCCTTTCTACTTTTCCTTTCAGTTTCTTCCTCACATGTCCCCTCATATCAGAGAAGTTTCCCCTTTTAAAGTTAAAAGTGGTTGTGTCAGTCTTTTTGGCCAATTACCTATTTATACAAATGTTGAATTCAATAACATTATGGTTTCTATGATAGCATAGTTTTCAGCACTCTTGCTTTAATAATGGGTGTATTTGCAGGCGTGCATGTAGGAAATTAACAGTGCCATCCTAAGAACACTTTCCTGGGAGTAACCACCATTTAATTGGCCTAAGTATGATTGCTTTCTAAGGCATTAACACTCTTAAATATCATGAATTTAATTAAAATTAGCTAGCATTTAATTAAAATTAGCTAGCATATAAAATTGGAATTAATCCAATTTTATATGCTAGCTAATGTATGTTATGTGTCTTATATTGTTCATAGGCTTAGATTTGATAAATATTGCATATATTTCAGTTTTCTCCCAGATTTCAGTTTTTTCCTGGAAAAAAAAATGTTTTTCCCCAAGGGCTTCAACATTTCTGGAAATTTTGCATCTTTAGTCTCATCTCTCGCAAAGATGGCACATCATGTTCTGTCTCTCACCCCCCTCATAATAGAATATGGATTCCATGTTTGTCAAAAGACACATTGTTTTTCACAACGATGAGTCTGCTGGATGCAGAGTATTTTTTCCTTTCACTTCAGAAAGTGGTCCTGGCTTAACTCACAGTTCTACAGATCATTTTATATGCATTATTTCAAGCTTTAAGTCTCTAGTTCCAGCTTTAAGGGGTGTTCTTCTCCTTGCTTGCATCTTTCACTTCCTGTATTATTTCCAAATAACTTTCTGTACCTCACTTGGAGTTCCAGCACCATTCAGCTCATAAGGAGCCTGTGGGTGGGGTCTGAAATGTTTAGGGATTGAACAATTGGCTGCTAATGATTTGTATTGATTTCCTAGTTGGGACAGACGTAGGATTTGCTTTGTACAGAAGATTTTTTTCTCCCACGGATGCACCTATTGTAAGTAATGGTTTCCTGTGACAGAATTTCAGTTTTATTCTATTAGATCATTCTTCTCTTGGTGCTGTTCTGCTTTCCTTGCACCCAGACTGGTGCAGTATCCTCATCACTATGGTACCGAAGCCCTGCATGTTTTTTCATCGTTGGGATTATTTCTATGCACTCTGCAGTTTTCTTTCCTACAGCATGCTTTTCCTCTTTGGCACGTTAAGTCAGAGTGAGAGGTCAGTTTGGTGCTGAAAACTGACAGGTATGTGAAATCTGCAAAGAGAACCAAAGGGCAATTTCTCAGTGTTCAAGCTGTAGAGGGAAAAAGATGTACATTCTTTTGCTGCCACAAGTTGGAACATACAGAACAAGGGGTCCTTGATTTGCACAAAATGGCCATATTTTAGCTGAGGCAGTCATCAGAGTTTCAAGTTGCCGCCCTGAAGAAATTATAACGCTGAGGGGCTTGGATCTTGTCCTGGTCGTTGATGGCATCGACTGACTTGGGAGAGGGGGAATTAGAGGAGAAGTGAAAGGGGATGCACCTTTGCTTGACTTCCTGGTCTTTTCTGAGCTCAGATTTGTTTTCCTTTTTGGTTTTGAAGTCTTTCTTGGGAGTTCCTCTTCCTTCTGTCTGCACAAATGTTAATGGTTGGTGGATTCCAGAACATGGCTCCTTTGGATGGGAAGGGGCCCAGCACCTGGGAGCTGCCCTCAAGTCTTTGATGGATGTGTTCTAGCAGGCAGGTTTGTTAATGCTGCTGGAGCAACAGTGCTTGTAAATGACTTTGGAATATGGGTCCTGCTCTTTCTGAATTTCCCTTTTTTCCACTCCCTCTTCAGGTTTCCTTTGTGGCTCACATTGCAGGCGGCCTTGCCGGGATGTCGATAGGTTATGTCATATTCAGCTCTTTTGATCACAATTTTATTAAAGATCCAAGATTCTGGGTCTCCATCGTGGCTTATTTGGTCTTTGTGGCATTTGCAATATTCTTCAATGTGTTTTTCTCACCTGCAAACCAATAAGCCACATTGCCTAACAGAACAATACAAAAACCTTCTGAAGATAATACAGTTGTTTTAAATATGTTGCATATTTGTAATTATTATTTTTTGTTTTTAAACTATGCTGTTTTTTTAAACCGATTTCATTTATCTGAAGATGCCTTTTGTACTTTTTCCATATTAAAGCAAACATTTCTCACTGCCATTGGTTTTAGGAATTATTTGCAGCTTTTATTGTTTTGTTCAGTAGTTCACTGGCTCGGCAGAGGTGAGGCTGTGGCATCCAGTGCTGGATTTCAACTCTTTGGAAGGCTGTGCTGCAGTCAGCTGGGTCAGCCATTGGTCTTGCCGTGTCCTACCCCTCTGTCTCCCAAACCCAGGTGGTGGTGGGAGAGCAAAGAAGGGGCTGCAGAAATAAAGGCTGCTTGCTCAGGGGGTGCAGACATCTTGGTTACTTGAAAGTTGAACTGGCTTTTGGTCATTTGTCTTGTGCAAAAAATTCCAGTAGAGGGAGGGGGAGAGAGAAAAAACTCTGAGTCTACTCTGCGTCAGAAGAGAGTAGTTAGCTAACTGTGGCATTCCAAGGAATGCTGGAAATTCAGGTTTTGTAACTGGCTAAGGGTGGCTCTTCCCTTATTCACCCTTAGTTTTTTGTGCTTCTTCTTTGTATCACTTCAGATCTGTAATTCCCTCTTGGGACTTCTTGGATCTCTTAATTGTGAGGTGAACTCTGATTGACTGAGGAATGGTATTGAGGAAAACAATCAATCTTTATTAGAATCATAGATCAGCCAAGATTGACACACACAATTGTCAGCACATCTACATACAGTAGCATTTCAGAGCCATATAATATGATTTCATATTATAAATATGATTTCAAAAATTCAGACGTAGTTAATAAAGACTTAACCAGCTTTTTCCTTGTTTCCCCCCCCCCCCCACCTTAAAGATGGTTTTGTTAGAACCATCTGAGAAGGGGAGGGAAATGTAAAATTCAACAGGTCTCCTGGAAAATGTGTTAAGATTGGAGTTACGTATAGAGGCCAAATGTCCCTGTACAAAGGATGATACAGTAACACATGGTTGACTGTTGCAGCCATGTCCAGTTGGCGGGGGCAAACACATTGAGACAAGAGTAAGGGATACATGTGTATCTCTGTTCCAAAAGATCTAATGGTAAAGCATTAAAAGCGGACCAAGGTGAAGGCGCTTTGGTATTTAGGGAATTCTAAAACGTAGTGATATTCTGCTGGCACAAAGTTTTTTACCATGATTCCCTACCACCAGTTAAGCCTCTGCCTGCGTTCTGTCTACTTGAAGGGCTATATCCCAGATTCAGAGTTTCTCAATATCAACAAACTGCCCTGCCACCAGGATCACTCTGGATTCTCTTGCTCATTTACATCCCCGCTTCCTCTTTTGTTAATTATGACTGACTCATTTGTTACCCCTGAAACCATTAATCTTAGGAGAAGAACTATAGACGGTACTCTATATAAAATGAAGTGAATAAAAACAAACTTTAAGAATTCATAATAGAGTTTAGAATATTCAATCACTTCTGTCAACCTCCAGCACAATAGTGCAAAATATATAAAGGACAGTTTACAACACATGCCACACTAAACCTAATCAGTCAGCACTATATTTCTTTTTCCACTGTACTGTGTGTGGTTGGGGAGATCAGAAGTGACTAAACAGTGAGTCTTAAGAGGTAGTGGCCCTGTAGATATCCAGAAAGCTTGCATAGTTCCCTGCTTTGATATCCCCATCTCAACCTGATGCCATAATGACTATTTACCTTTAAAGGGTTCATGAATCCTTTTTAAAAACAGAAGGTTTCTGATACTGAGTTTCCTGTAATGATATCAAGATACAATAAAATGTTTTGGCAAAGGGTGTATGTATTGATAAACTATATCCAGCTCCTTCAAATACTAATGGGGTGGGATGGGGTGAGGGGAGAGGAGAGGAGAGATTTTAACTGGCCATTGAGTGCTTTCAGGCAGTAGTAAAATCCCATTGAAACAGAAATCATTTGCTGCCGTGCCTATGGGAAAGCAGGCAGTGCTGCTTCTACAGCTGATTTAATTACACTGGCCTCAGGTTTCATTTAACTATGAAATGGGACATGACCGATTGATTTGCGACTCACTGTCAGAGCAGATGGGCTATTGACCAGCTACTGGGAATTTTCAGAATCCTAATGCTTGCTTGTGCAAGACACATTTCTTTATACCGTTCATGTTGGGGAGGGTGGCGTACAAAAATGTCCCAATCATGGTGATTCTGGATGTAGTTTGCCAGTTATATCGTGATTAAAGATGCTTATTTTCTGCTCCAAAGCATTTTCCCCTCTGCCCTAATCAAACTGATTACAATAGGCATTTCACCTTTGCATCCTGAGTTCCTTCTTTACAATACTCCTCTCATCTTCCAACTGGGATATAAAGACTTAGCGATCTCCATTCCTTACCCATATCTGTCCAAGGGAGCTTTGACTCTTGAAAGCTTATACCCTGACACTCTTGTTGGTCTCTAAGGTGCTACTGGACTTGAATCTAGCAGTTTTACTGCAGACCAACAAAGCTACCCTCTGAAAATATCGTGACTATGCCCATCTAACCTGAGATTTCCCAGGATTTTTAAACTTGATAAAAACAAGCAAACTTCCTAACTGGCTTTCAAATGGCGTAGTAATAGTCGCTCTGTAGAGTCCTCTTGCATTTGTATAGCACGATTCACTGGCTGCAGTATAAGGAATCTGTACAGAGCTAAGGGGAAATAAACTTCTCATTTGGCTTTTGTCCACAGTTCAGCAAAGCCTGCCCCAAAGACATTCTAGCCTTTTATGTGAAGCTCCCGCAAGTCTCTTTTCTGGAGCGCTTTATCCTGCCAGCACACAGTGGGAAGAAGAGTCCATCACTACTTTACTCATCCATTGAATTACAGTCTCCCGGAAGATGAGCGTTGGGGATGACCCTAAAAATAAAAGGTTTATAAAATGCTTGCCTTGCTTCTCTGCCACATTGAAAGCCAAAAGGGATGGATAGAAGTGTGTGTGCTCATGCTGGAACTGTTCGGCAGTAGGGAAATTCAAACTAAAGAATTAAAAGTAAATGCAGTTCACAAAACGGTGCAGACACAAGCCGTAGGAGGAATGCTGTGTCTTCAACAACTTACTTATTTAGAGGAGCCCCACTGCAGATGGTCCCAGGTTCAACCCCTGGCATCTCCAATTAAAAGGAACAGATAGGAGGTGATGTGAAAGATCTCTAACTTGAGACCATGGAGCCAGTCTAAGTAGATAACACTGACTGGGGCCTTCTGACTTCTCTTTGCAATAACTCCTCAACCTCCAACCCCCGCTGGTTATAATTTTCGCTATAAAGTTCTCTGCCAGCTGAATGTACACACTCAAGCATCTGACAAAATGAACTCTGATTCATGAAAGTTTATGTCACAATAAATATTCCCCACAACTTTTAAATCTTTTTTTGGGGGGCCCCAGAGAGGATTTTTATTGCTTTTTTAATTATACTACATACTACAAAGAAATAAAGGAAGGGAACTACAATTAAGGAGAAAGTAAAGAACTACTGACTAAAAACCCAAGAGAAGGAGATAATTAAAACAGCTTGAGTACAAAATCATTCCTTAAATCGCTGATATCTTTTGAACCTTGTCAGACATGTTAAAATATCTTTTAACACTTAGATTTAGCTGTTAGAGAGAAACCCGAGCATCCCATTATTAAAAACCGTATTTTCAAAGGCACAATTCAGAGTCCTTCAGCCTTCATTTTTTCTTTTCTTGTCTTTTCCTCAGTTTATATGGACTTTTAGGGGCGGCCGCCCCTTTTTCAGAGAGTCCTCTCTAGAAGACCCCGAGTCCAGCTCACCACTAGACTTACTGTCCTTCTCCTCTTTACCCACCTCCTCTGGCTCACCCAACTGGATTCTCAAAAAGTCCCGTGCTTTGGAAACAGAGTCAATCTTTTCTTTTTTATCCTGAAGTTTGAAGGTTACGCCCTCTGGATATAACCACCGGTAGCTAATTGCATTTGTTTGAAGAAAAAGAATTAAATCTTTATATTTCTTTCTCCTTTGTCTTATTTCAAATGGGATGTCTTTCAGAATCCTGATGGTACTGTCCCCAATTTTCAAGGGTGTCCCCGCCGTCGCTCTCAGGATAGAATCCCTCACGTGCCTCTTCGAGAATCTCATTACTATTTCCCCAGGCAGATTATTCTTCTTTATGTATACGGAATAGGACCTGTAGGCCACATCCATTTCGCTCATAAGATACTCCGCCTTCCAATCTGTCACTGGGGCTAATGCATCGCTCATCACTTGCTTCAGATTCTCTCCTTTGAATTCTGGGACACCTTGGAATCGAAGGACCAAGTTTACCTTCTCCATTTGTAGCTGTAAAAGTTGTTCTTCTGTAGAAATTTGCTTCTTTTCCAACCTTTGCACCTTTTTCTTCACCTTTTGGGTA